AGACGTAGTTACGCGCGCGTTTCTCTCTTTAATGTCAATTCAACAGCATCTACAACAATTTCTTTCAAGAACACATACTAACCATAAAACATTCCATGTGTTCAACCTTGACTCTGATCTATACTCATCACCTCCACTCATCAAAAACTCATCCGCCACATCCTACCGACATCGTCTTCTCCTAGTTTCCGCACCTACTGTTGGCTTTATATCTGGCTTGGAAGCATACGAATACACTGTTTCAAAACAAGATAAAATAGAACACATGATTTACATCTCCAAGGTGGATACGACCATGACAACCGAAGAAACGAGAGGAGTGACGAGACAACTTGTTTTGGCCTATTTAGCAAGCTTACCGTCCAATACCACCGTATTTGTGTTTGCAAGAGCACAACCTCAGTACCTGTTTGCCAACTCGGCCAAGAACACGAACAAGGCCGCCCTGTCCGACCGCGACCTTGTCTCTTGGTGGCTTCATACACTCAATAGAGCTCCCAACGCCGAAAAAGGTTGGTGGTTTGTGCCTGGAGTAGAGGATGAGTCCAGTGCTCTGATCGAGATTGGAGCAAGAAAGCGACAGTGGGAAGCTGCATTCGACTGGACTTATGGAAGCTCTTATTCCCCAGATGCAAAGGCCCTGGATGTAATTCCACGGTTTGAGGATGATGCCAAGGCACGATTCTTGAAGGATCATATAGATGATGATTTGTCTGTGAAAGGGTTTTGGGAGTTACTAGCATTTAGCGAAGAATGCGGATCTGGAAAAATCACTGGTTTCTTCGAGCTCAAAGTCAATGGTTGTTTATTGGAAGAAAAAAAAGCCGAAAAGGAAAAGGAAAAAGATGACAAGTTTACAGAATTTTGGAACAAGCTCATGTTCTTGGACTTTCACAATAAGGAATCCATTTTATCCTCCACCCAGACCGCAGTCAGGGAAATTGAAAAGAGATATTCTAAAGAATGTCAATTTGAGATTACGGTTGAACAAAACAGGCCATTGGAACAAACGAAAAGTAAGCAGCCTGTAGTCAATACGCTCTCAAGCATGCAGATTAAACGAAAGAGAGAACAAGTGAATAGCAAGGAAGCAGCGGTAAACACACTTTCAGGTTCGTTCATTAAGCGTAAAAAAAACTGTAATCATAATTGAGTCCTGTAATTGGAATAAACTCTCCCTACAGCCAAAAAACAGTGTTTATTTCAATTGTCTGATCGCTGCTATACGTCATGATGTGTTGTATGTTATGAGTATCTCTAATGTGTTTCTGATTTCGAAAAAATGTATACCTTATTTTATTTTGGCCATCTTTAATTCTTTAAAACAGCAAGTGATATATACATATATAAGATCTGTTGTTAGCAAAGCGTATAGTCAGGAATGGGACGCGCGCGCAAACATACATCCTTATTACAAGAATTTTTCATTTGTTTTTTGCCTCTTATGTAGCAAAACAAAGCTAAAGTTGCCAGATGATTTCGTTATAAAGCCAACTAGAGCCCATCATTTATAAATTATCAAATTCCTTTCGCTAGTTTTTTAATAAGCAAAAAATGTCAGAACCGTCCTTTCCTCCTGCAAACATAGTGATGAATAATTCGTCATCTGTATCAAAAAGTAAAAAGAAAAGAAATAAGAAGAAGAACAAGAAGGCAGGATCTTCACAACAGTCTCCTGCTGCTTCCGTTCCACCAACCGAGGCAGTCACTCAAGGGGTCACTGGGGCTGAAGGGACAACTGGAGAATTCACCAGTAACGATTCGTTGAATCAAGACGAAGCTGCAGTGACAGCGCCTACAACACCAGAAGAACAGCCTAAGGTCACCGAGAATGTTGACCATCCTGAAAAAATTGGTGCTGGTGAACAAGGAACTGTTGAACAGCCAGAAGAGCTAGGTGAACAAGGAACTGTTGAACAAGGAACTGTTGAACAGCCAGAGGAGCTAGGTGGACAAGAAACTATTGAACAGCCAGAAGAACTAGGTGAACAAGAAACTATTGAACAGCCAGAAGAACTAGGTGGACAAGGAACTGTTGAACGACCAGAGGAGCTAGGTGAACAAGGAGCTGTTGAGCAACCAGAGGAACTAGGTGGTCAAGAAAGTACACTTATGCCTCCACAACGTAGAGATACTGATCAAGATCCTTCGCGTACGGTACCAGCAGAGGGTATGCTCCCATCTGCTGTTACCCCTGATGTCCCCGAGAAACAGGAAGAGATAAAGGCGCCGGGTGCGCCACTTGTTCAAACACGGCCATTAGCTCCAATCCCTGTTGCCACTCCTCAGCTAACTGAACGTAGTGCTTTCCAGGAACCAACATCTACAGTATCTCCACCGCTCCCTTCCCCATTTGAACCCAAAGAGACATTCCCTTCATCTACGGAACCATTTGCTATGGAACACAGTTATCATGAGTTGTCTGACAACGAAGAGAGTTGTGTTCGATCCGCTGTTCAGTCCAAGTTTATCGATATTGATTTCATCATGAAGCAAGTCAAAGAAAATATTGACAAAGGCATGTACGAGACTCCACGAGGTTCTCACGGAACTTTTGGAACCAGCGATGCAGTTGCTGCTGCCACTTCTGCTACAGGAGCAATGCCAGCATCTAGCACGACGACTGCTGATACAACAACTGATGAAAACGTAATGGACGATACTACCAAAAGTACTGTCCCTGTTCAAGAAGACACATTAAAGCAACCAGAACCTGCTGTTGTTAATGAGCAGCCCACTGCTATGCAGCCTGTGACAACAGCAACAGACACAAAGCAAAACGTTGCTACAACTACTAGTCCTACGGAACAAGACAACGTGCCTCAACCGGCTTCTGCAAATGCTTCACAACAAGCAATTACTGATAATGCGCCTCAACAAACAACTACCGATAACGTGCCCCAACAAGCTGTTTCCGATAATGCGCCTCAACAACCATCTTTGAATGATGCTTCTCAGCAACCTGATTCTACTGTTGCTTCAAGACCACCTAAGCCCAAGAGATCATCTCAAATTAGATCAAGCATTATCTCTGCAGTTAAGAAAAGGAGAAGCTGTATCATCTTGTAAAAAGAGAAAAGTGAGTAAATATATAGTTCCTACTTCTTTTTTTCTTCTTTACACACACATATAATAACAATCTCATAAACCGCGTCTTTTTTTTCTACTGTTTGGTATGCTTTATTACTTTTTTTTTTGATCATGTCGTTTCTGAAAAGGAAAGGGGTCAATGCGTCCTATCAAATGTCTTGCTGCAAGGTAAGACAAAAGAGCCATGTCAAAGGGCTTAGTAAGCGTATGACCTTAAATTGCAACACGGTAATCATAAATGATGGCTTCAACGTCAATTTTACAAAAAAGTCCGAGTACCACTAGAGGGGTCAATTGATTTTGATTGTTTGTTTTTATTCGCGTTTCACATAATAAAGTCTATTTCCAGCAAGAGGTACCCACAAAGAAGGCGTTTAATACCACATGTCAGCTGCTATGGTGGTGTGAGACCAAGGTTGTTCAGAATCTTGATCATGCAGTGCAACACAAATTGTCATTGTAGCTAACGGTAATTTTCTATATAAATAATCCTGGATTTCTTTTTTTTTTTCTTTCCCTCTAATTGGATGACAAGCCTCTGGAACGATCCATTTGGAATGAATTTCAAAAAGGTATATAGAAAAAAACAAGCATAATCCATGCATACGTGCTAATTCATATTAGGCCAAGAAAGTAACCGCCATTGTTGTTGAAAAGCCTGCAAGCAAAGAGAAAGAAAAGCCGCCATCTAAAGCTCCTTGTGTTTCTCCCCCTCACTCTATCTGCTACTGTGTCAATTATTATCCTCAACCTTACTATCCGCCCATGTTTCCACAGCAACCATGTGTCTGCCATCAATCAAAGCCTACTCCACCACCACCGCCACCAAAGGAAGAAAAGAAAAAGGCTCACAAGTGCGTACTGGCGTGTACACCTGAGAATAAATGCGCAGCATGTAAAAAAGCTGAGGAACCTAAGAAGGTGTATTATGTAGTACCGTCTTTTTCTAATCCCAGAACTGTGTATCGTGTCAGTGTGATGGAAGGGAAATCATATACAACAAAGTGATCTCTTATTATTTTTTTACTCTATAAATATAATTTAAGCTTTATTTTAATAATAATAATATAATAATAAACATCAATGCTTATTTTACACTTGTAGCAATAAAGTAAGTCAACTATTAGTGTGAAGGGTTACTCGTAGATGCCACTGCTTGTTGCTCTTCTTGTATAGAGCTGGCTCTGCTTTTATCAACTTCAACGATCTCCTCTCTTGTATGTGCCTGTTCATAGTATTCAGGATCTAGTCTCTTACTGAGTATAAACGTAACTGTGCCAATCAATGCAAGGAAAGCAAAACTGACATTGACACGAATTGTGTAAGGCAACCAAGTGGCAGTTAATGCTCTATTAAGAAAAACAAGTCAGCTTGTAATTACAGAGAGAAGAGGCAAGACTTACGCTGACCATAAACTACCACAAACAGCTGGTCCCATTGCTCTTGTAGCACTTGCACAGCCTTAATTATAAAATGTTAGTTGTGATATTCTGAATTATATTTCTTGTAATGCTTACATTGAGAGAATCCATTCACAGCGCCCAAAGCATCTTTTCTAGGAGCCGCGTTGTTGACAAGAATGGTGCATCCAGTGAAGCAGATAGTATGTCCTATTGTCTTGATAGTCTGTGATATGATCAGGCCTACCCAAACCCAGAGTTTTGTATTCTTATGTCCGTCAAAATTAGGTACATTGTACAGTGTACGAATGATGCCTTGAGAGAGATATAAAAAGATGAGAATAAAGAGAACGATCTGGAACAAGCGAAGTAATCCAAATCTTCGTGTTAGGGCAGGCAAGATGAGCAATTGAGCGATAAGAGTGACCACACCAGCATAGGCAAGGGCAGCACCGATCTCGTATGAACTAAAGCCTAAGCCGCCATTTTCTCTGGTACTGGCAGTATAAAGGGGGAATAGCTCTATATACGTGCAGTGAGTATCATGATTTATTTACCCAATTGACAATACAATTTACCGTCCATGTAAACAGCTTGGAAAGCAAAAAATCCATAGGCGATGCAAATGGCAACAACCTGTGGTGTAATGGATTCCTTGAGCGTAGGTGGTTTGTATCTGTCCTTGATAGTAGGTGTAGGTGAGCGTTGATCCTTTTGGTTTTTAAAAGTAGAGTAATTTTGCTCGTTCTCTGTTTGGATCAAGGAAGTTTCTTCATCTTCTGAATGATGCGCGTACACCGGATGCGTTTCTTCCAAGAAAAACAAACCGAATATCAATCCTAAAGTACAGATAAAAGCTGAAATGAAGCATGGTAAGAAGTAGGGATACTCCGTCAAGAAATCAGTCAAGAACCCCAAATGACCAAACACTCCGGGATAATTTTGAACCGGATGAGATAGAAAGCCGCCAAGCATCGGACCAATAATAGATCCAAGACCGTACATTAGTGGTAGTAAAGAGAATGCTCGGGCTCTCTGGTGTGGTAAATGATCAGTGGTTAATTCTGATACCATGCTTTTCAATACACCAATATTACCATTCTATCAAAAGATGGGATGCTTCTTTTAGTACATATAGCGAAAACCAGTTCTTGCAACACTTTACCAGCAAGCCACAGAGACTTCGAGAGACTAGTGCCCAAATGAATGATTTCGATAACCCAAAGAGTAAGATACTTGTGATAGTGCCTACTAGGCCCTGCAAAATAACCGGTCTTCTCCCGATCCTGTCCGAGAGCATACCCCAATGAATGCCTATGATAGGTTGGTATACAATGTATATGAAAATGGCATCATCATCTATACCTGTTAATAGCTGAGATAATGCAAAACAAGAAGTAATGAATCCGACATAGTAACCAACACCCTTTTCATCTGCGATATGAAAGTCCCTAACCATCTTTATAATATGTTGAGTATAAACAAAGGATTATGTTTGTGCATATATTTACTTGCACAATAAATGGAAATATGACGGTAAAACAAATAGGTTCCTAAAAACAAAGCTAAGCTACTATAGATCGATATATATACTGTTTCTTTATCTTACAGCAAATCTACATGCGCAAATGATGGCCAATTGCCTATATGGCAATGGTTTAATTATCTTTTGTTCCATCTATTTACGTTGCAATATTAGCAAAAAAAAAAAAAAAAAAATTAGGCAGAAAAGAGAGACATAATTCTGGAATAAACTTCCAAAATAAATAGTCGCACAGAGCTAGTCTTGAATTACGACAAAAATGGAAATCATTGTTACCCCCATAGTTTATTACAGAAGAAGACATTTATAGTGAAGCTCATCTTTGAAAAAGGTGGGCTTTGACAATCTGATTGATGCATATTGAGAATATCAAGAACAAAAGCTTTATACAAGCATTAACTTACCAGATTTTAGCTTTGGGCATATTTGCTGATAGTAACTATTGCTTACACAGCATACACTAATATTACTCAAGAAAAAGAGCATCTGCCGAAGAACCGCGCAACTCTACTCACTTTAACGTCTTTGGCATCAATGACTTGATGCTAATCGCCTTCTATATCTTTTTGATTATCTTTTAACATTCTTATCCAAGAGCCTTCAATTACAATGTCAGGATTGATATGGTAAATATTTATTGTTCACGGTACTTTTGTTATCAAAACATCAACTACGGCGTATCAATCAAAATTGAGCTTTATTTCCTCAACATTGTATTTCATATTCAGTTTTCTTTTAACGAATATATGAGGGCGTTCTAATCCAGCAATATTATACACCGCGTTTATTTCTTTAATCAATCTCGCCTCCTTCATGCGCTCGCAACTACTGTTTTACAACTCTGTATTTAATACACTAACACAGCATCCTGCTTTTTTCTTTTTCTGTCCATAATGAAGTGATCATCATTTCAGTTTTCATTCCTTCACGTATATTATCAAGCTTGCTCGAACAAAGCTTTATATTTTAATTGGACAAGGTATTCTGTGACTTTGCATGAAAATAAATTTTTATTGGTCAAGCTGATTCTCTTCCGCTTTGAGGGCAAAATGAAAACGCAATGACATTTTTCATTTCCATTTTTTTCTTTTTTCTTTTTAAATAAAATAGATGATAGAAGAAGAGGTTATTATAGATAAAAATAGCCAACAAGTAGTAGATGTAAGCTATCTATTGCTATTATCTTTACTTATTATTTAATAGACTGCTGCGGTGAAAAAGGCAACAAAGGATAAAAAGAAGGCTGTAAAGAAAGAAGAGGCTGACAAAGATGTACAGCAAGAAAAAAAGACCAAGAAGCTTTTCAAGAAGAAGAAGAACAAAGATACGGTGGATCCCATAGAAACAAAAAAGAATCGATCCAAACCAAAAAAGAAGAGCGATGACAAGAAACCGACTGCGGTAGAACATGCTGCGGTGTTGGATGGTGCTGAGTCTTCAGCCATCATCACGACTCTAGATTATGAAGAGGAAGAAAATGTGGAGGGTGAGATAGAGGTGTTTGATTACCATGAGCTTGAGGAAGCGCTGGGTGGACCTGTGAAGCTTCATGATCTTCCTTCCATTCAGTTTGCTCCAGAAGCGAAAAAGAAAAAGTCAAAGCCCATCATGCAAAAAAGTCGTTCAGCTCCTTCAGAATCTAGTATCAAGAATCCATCAGCCAAGAACGGAAAGTATAGTGCAGTGCCTCCTCCCCAGTCCTTATTGTCATCTGGAAAGCCTGTAAAGAGTCAAAAAGTGCATACCCACGATCATCAGGAAAAGAAGAAAAAGCAAGACAAGGACCATGTGCATGAATCTGAGTCTGTGAAGCCATCTGCTATCAAGAAGAAGGCAAAAAAGATCAAAACAGAGGAAGTCGAGTTTAAGGTTTCGACACCTAGTGTCAAATTGCCTGCTAAAAAGGAAAAGGGGGTGAGCACAGATCAAAAGCCAAGATCAACCAAATCATCGGGTTTCCCAAAGAGGCAACTTGGAGAGGATGTAAAGCCTATGGTATTAGCGAAAAAGGAAGGAAAGAACATGACTAAGAACCTGAATGAAGAGCAAAAGAAGGAGTTGCTAACTGTCGATTATTGCCACCCTTATGACGTTTTGTATGGACGTAAAAGCCGCATGCGATTCGAACGTTACTTGGATCCTAAAATCTGCGAAAAGAGAGTCAAGGAAAAGGAGACAAACCTCTATAAAGGGATCCTTCGCATCAACAAGCGTAATCGTACCGATGCCTATGTTACAACGGATAAGTTAGAGTCAGACATCTTTATTTTTGGACTGCGTGATCGTAACCGCGCTTTAGAAGGAGATACAGTCTTTGTAGAATTAGTCGATGTGGATGTCGTGTGGACAAAAAAGAAAGATGGCATGGCACGTAAAAAGGATGAGGGTGATTCAGTCATTATTGATGAAAAGTCAAAGCCAAAATATGCTGGCAAAGTGGTCTGTGTTCAAAGTGTGCGTAAAGATCGCCTGTTTTCCGGTACGATATCGATTCAACGAGCATCCAATGGAACAGGTGCAGTTGCAAATGGTAATGCTGCAGAAGAAGATACTGATATAGAAGCAGTAAATGAATTGGTGGATGAAGATGAAGGGCAAGAGACGGTAGAGGGCTCTCGGTCTTCAAACAGCGATAAAGAAATAGAATCCAAGAAGGGCAACAATCATGTACGCGTCGTATGGTTTAAGCCGCTCGACAAACGCGCTCCATTGATTATGATTCCAATTAAGAATGCTCCTTATGATATCCTGGATAATGAAGCCAAGTATGCAAATCTTATCGTTGTCGTCAAGATCACTCGATGGCCAATTGACTCGTTAAATCCTATTGGCGCATTTGTTCGTGAGTTAGGTCATATTGGTAATATTCCAGCAGAGACAGAAGCTATATTGGCGGACAATGGTATTTCAGAACTTCCTTTCAGTAAAAAGGCGCTCAGTGGGTTACCTCCTACACCTTGGTCCATTGAACAATCCGAGATTGATAAAAGACGCGATTTACGCACAACACGTATATTCACAATCGATCCTGCTACAGCCAAAGGTAAGAAAGAATATATTAATAGGGAATTGGTGACTGAGGGATTGTATTAGATCTTGACGACGCTGTTCATGTCACTCAGTTGGATAAAGATGATTTTGAAGTGGGTGTTCATATCGCGGATGTATCTCATTTCGTAAAGCAGCACACTGCTTTGGATCATGAAGCGTTTGACAGAGGAACGAGTACTTATCTCTGTGACCGTGTGATTCCGATGCTTCCCTCTCTCCTATGTGAGGAGCTCTGTAGTTTAAACCCAGGCGTCGATCGACTTGCATTCTCTGTTATTTGGAAGATGGACGGTGCTGGTAACGTGAAAGAGACCTGGTTTGGCAAAACTATCATTCGATCTTGTGCCAAATTAGCCTATGACGATGCTCAAAGTGTCATCGAAGGACATGGTTTACCAAAGACGGTGATTATCCGAGACGATCACAAGGTATCCGACGTAGAACAAGATATTCTCTATCTGTTCGAAATGTCCAAAAAGATGCGTGAGCGTCGATTTGCGAATGGCGCATTATCCATCAATTCCATCCGCCTTTCGTTCAAGCTAAATGACATTGGCGAGCCTTGTGAGGTTTCTATTTATGAGCAAAAAGATGCGAATAGACTGATTGAGGAATTTATGTTGCGTGCCAACATGAGTGTTGCTGAAAAGATTCGTGAGCATTATCCAAATGAAGCACTTCTTCGTCAGCACTCTCCTCCTCATGAAAAGAGCTTGGTAAGTGTTGTTTATGATGAATTCACGTTTTGCTCACATATACTTTAGAATGAATTCTTGAGAATTGTTGACAGCTTAGGTTACAAGTTTGACGGATCAACTGCAGGCAGCCTTCAAGAATCATTTAATTCTATTGAATCCGAAGATATCAAGTCAGTTTTGAAGCTTTTGGCGGTAAAACCAATGCAGAGAGCCAAATACTTTTGTACGGGATCCTTTGAAGATATCAACAGATTCAGACATTATGCTCTCAATGTGCCGTACTATACGCACTTTACTTCTCCCATTCGACGATTTGCAGATATCGTTGTCCATAGACAGTTAGAAGCCGCACTTGCCAACAAAAAGTCATGTGGCTATAAAAAGGCTGCTGTTCAAAAGGCAGCTGGACATTGTAACGAGCGAAAGGAGGGAGCCAAGAACTCGCAAGATATGAACTTGCAATTATATCTCTATCACTATCTTTACAACTTGGAGAAGGAAACCAAGAAGCCTGTTATCTGTACTGCTATTGTGACTCAAGTGCTGAAGGATGCTATTGATATACTTGTTCCTGAATACGGACTTGAAAAGCGCCTTCATGTAGACGCGATACCCATCGAAAGATACGTCTTTGATGGAAATAAGACCACCTTGTCTGTTTATTGGAAAGAAGGTGTTGATTCAAGCTGGGAATGGGATCAAAAGCGAAGAAGTGATCAAGATTTTGTAGAACCCGTGGGCACGCAGATCGAGTTAGACGATGAGCAAGATAATGATGATGAGAATAATGAAGTAGTGACAGTAAAGATTCCAGAAGAGCTGTTAGAAGAAAATACATTGGATAAAGAAACAAGGATGCAAACATTCAAGACATTTTCAAAGTTGAATGTTAGAATTCAAGTGAATGTAGAAAGATCTCCGCCTATTGTAAACATTTACCCAATTAACCCCTTCATGTAATTTTTATTCAATCATGATATCCTCTGTATTTGTTCTTTCAGCTAATATACTTTGTAATGTGTCTGCCAATTTATAATACATCAGCCTTTCTTTTAACTCTTCGTAATCATCTGTTGACTCTATGATTCCTCTTTCATCTGTAATGTTGACTTGTGTCGGGTATGCTGAGGTCTTGTTTTCATATTTGATATTTACACGTAAAACTCTGCTGCTAATGTGAACCTTGATATCAACATCTGACTTGGACATGTTTTCCGATAGAATCTTGATATCATAGCCTTCTTCTGTTAGTTTATTTATTTCGTTTAGTTGCTCTCTTCTAGTGACATATGCCTGTACACAGTCATGAACGATACGTATGAATGTCTAATAGAGAAAAAAAAAGGTGAACAAAGAGAAGCCATCTTGATTTTAATATTACCTCAATATTATGCGGCATGAATTTCTTTTCTAATTCGTGAATGGGAATAAACGGAGGCAATGTATGTCTGTCCACCTTTGAAAAGTCGTCTTTCAGGAACAGTAGATAATAAGGTTCCTTGTATGTTCTGTCATAGAATGTTTCTAATCTTATTCCCACATGATTCCTTTTAAAATTGAATATGGTACGTCCACATAAGCGATGGTAACTGATCATTTCTTGTATACAGTTATTCTTTACTGCTTGTCTCATTTGATCGAAAATATCTTGCTTAGCATTAGAAATGTCTCGTTTTGCTGTTATGGTTGGATCTGTAAATGTGTTTGCTAACTTGGTGACTACCAAATAGGATATATCTTCTTCCAATAATTCTCTTTTTAATCTTTTTTGTTTTTCATTTGCTTTAGCAACTGTAATAAAAGTCAGGGTTGTTTTTTGCTTGATCTACTCTAGATCTTACGTCTTTCTTTCAGTATTTTTATTTGAGCTTTTAATCTGTTCTGCTGATCAGGTAAACTATAGAAAAAAAATAGTTATACGTGGTTAATGTTGCTTTGGATAATAACTGCTTACAATGTGCCATCGCCGTCCATGACTTTCAAGGAGAAGGGTGAAGGATAAAAAAAAAAATAAACAATGCAAAACACTTCGGGCTTTGATTTTTAGAGTAACCTGCAATGACTTTTCTCCTAACTGTAAATTGTCCCTAGCGTGTGATCCTTTTCTCTCTTTCTCTCTTTCTCTCTTTCTCTCTTTCTCTCTTTCTCTCTTTTTCTTTTAAAAATGCTAAAGCTATCAGCAGCATTTTTTCTATGTCACATCATTTTATCATGCTTCCTAGTGAATCAAATCGATTCTTTGTCTTTTTTTGACCAAAGGCCTTTTAGTATCAACAGTAGAAAGAGTCGCAAACTGATTCGAAAAGAGCACGGAGGCTTACCAGAGGCAGATAAACTGACAGTGGAAGAAAAACAATCATATATTAAAGATGCATTTATCTTTTCCTGGGATGGATATAGAAACCATAGCTGGGGATTTGATGAAAACAGACCTGTCTCTAATGATCCAAGAAATACAAGGTAACAGATACTTATCATCATATTTGATACCAACCTTCATTAGGAACGGCTGGGGAGCGACCATCGTTGATAGCTTGGATACATTGTATATCATGGGACTGAGGAAGGAGTTTGATGAGGCAAAGGAGTTTGTTCGCAACATTAATTGGACCTTGGCCGAGGAACCGGTACAACTGTTTGAAACTGTCATACGATATGTTGGCGGACTACTATCAGCTTATGATTTATCAAACGATCTTGTCTTTGTCGAAAAGGCTGTCGAACTAACAGAGCTCTTGATTCCCGCATTTGACTCACCTACAGGAGTTCCTTACCAATACATGGACTTTAAGACGTAAGCGTAAACATAAATGAAGAAAAGGCTGTATTAATATATATAAAAAAAGAGGAAAGCCTTTACGATCACCAATCGCTTGTTTAGCAGAAGTTGGCACGATTCAAATAGAGTTTACAAGATTATCAGAGATCACAGGAAATTGGAAGTATCATCGTATCGTAAGTATGACCTTTTTCTCATGCTAAAAAAAAAAACGATGGGAGCTAAAATTTTCTGAAGGGCCAAAGAGTGTATGACGCTTTTCTTAAAATGAATGATACGCGCGGCCTTTATCCCCACCTGATCAATGTGAATACTGGTAAACCCGCTTCAGGTATTGCGTCCATATAGTTTACAAATATCAATTGAGATTATATAACACCTTTTTGTTCCCCTTAGACCGCTACACTTGGGGTGGTATGGGCGATAGCTTTTATGAGGTATATATAGTGTATTTTAGAGTGCCATGATGTCTTACATACTGTAGTACTTGATCAAACAACTTGTAGTAGTAAAAGGCAAAGATCAAACAAAATTCAAATTAGTCAAAGAAATCATCGATGGGCTAGAAGCTCGACTACTTGTTGACTCAGCTGTAGACCCAAGTTTATCGTTTCTAGTTGAAATCAATGACGGTCAACCCAGCTATCGCATGGATGAGTTGGTAAGAAGAGCTAAAACGCCTTATTTATATTCTCATCCATCAACTACTGTAGGCATGCTTTGCTCCTGCCGCATTGATTTTAGCCGCACGTCATTTCCCTGACGATTTTGGGCATATCGAGAGTGCTGCCAACCGTCTATTAAATGGGTGCTATAGTGCATGGGATTCCACTATGACAGGATTGGCCCCGGAAGTATTCACTTGGGATATGAAACCTCGATTCTTTTATGAACATAAGCCTTCCGTTGTACCTGTCGTTAAATCTTACATATTACGACCAGAGACGTTGGAGTCGTTGTATTACTTTTATGTGTACACTAAAAATCCCGTGTATCAAGATATGGCATGGGATATATTCAACTCTTTATATACTTACTGTAGAGCAAACTCTGGGTACACTGGTTTATACAATGTAGACGACATTGAATACCCATGGGATGATCGTGAAGAAAGGTAACTAACAAGAGATGTGAAACGCTCGAGACTCATTTTGATATATTTATGCGTTGAATTAGTTTCTTCTTTGCAGAGACGTTAAAGTATCTATATCTCATCTTTGAGGATCCTCATCACCCACGATTTCCTTTTGATCAATGGGTCTTTAATACAGAAGCTCATCCATTAAAAATTAAAAATTAAAGAGTGCGTTTACACTTTATTCATTATCGGAAGGCTCTTCGTATTCATCCTAAGTACAAAAGCATAAGTAAAGTATTTCATTATGTTTTTTTTTTTTATTATTATTACCTCAGACTCTTCATCCTCTTCTTCTTCTTCTTCATCGTCATCCTCTTCATTATTCTCTTCAATACTTTCTTCATCAGTTTCTTTAGCATTATTTTCATCTTTATTTTCTTCCTCTTCTTCTTCTTCTTCATCCGATGGCTCATCCAACTTGTAACTCTTTGGTTGTGATGCAGCCCTTCTTCTCGATCTTCTACCACTATCTTCTTCTTCTGTCAGGATATGACTGGTATCCAAGCTCTCCAACTCTTTCTTTAGCTCTCTTTCTCTCTTGATTGCCTCACATTTTTCAATAGATGGTCTACCTTCAACACCGAGATCTTGCAGGATAGCTTTTAATTTTTCAATTTCTGCTCTTGCTGAACGGCAGCCTGCCAATTCTTTTGACCTGATTTTTTTTTATGATTGTTACATGTGAAAAATACTTATTTAAATATAATCCCTTACCACACTTTGCGAACACCACACTTGTTAATAAATCCCTTGAGTCTCTTGATCGTCTCTTCATCTTTTGATGATCCAGGTTTCTACTTTGAGTAAGCAAATGCTTTAAATACATATCTCCATCTATACTAACTCTTGTCGAAGCGACTGTCGTTTTAGATTTCTTTTTAACAACTTTCTTTTCCTCCTCCTCTTCTTCCATATCATCATCTTGGTCATCGTCCTCTTCATCACTACTCGAAATAACTTGCTTTGTCTTTCTAGCTCTCTTCTTTTGTAGTATTCCCTCATCATCCTCTTCTGTAACAGCGGGCGAGGCCTCTGTACGCTTGCGTTTTGTAGAATGATTTGATTCTTCTTCTTTGACACTTGTCTCACTTGATTGTTTTTTCAGGATATATTCATCAATCATGTTTGTAATCATGTTCTTCCAAGGATCTTGTTTCAGTGTATTTGGTTCTAATTCCTAAGTGTGTGAATATATGGTTATTGACACTGAGTGGATCATGCTGTAGATCTTACATAATGCTCTTCTAGACTATGACGGATCTCTTTTGGTGTAAGCACACTGTTTCCAATAATAAGACGAGTGAGTTTCTTTAATTGTCTTTGCTTCTTTCTCTTTTACCTCAAGTCGCTCTCGTCAATTAAACTATACAATAAACACAGTGCGCGTTGAGTACATCTGAAACTATGATTTATATAAAACTACCTTTCCAACTTGTTTTTAAAGTCTTGTCCCTTTATGAATGTCTCGTCTACAGTCACCATATTACTTAAGGGAAAAAAAAAAAAAAAAATAAACACACGCGTGAATTAAAAAAAATACGCGCTTTGCAAACTAATAGAGAAATGATAATTTCAGACAACAAAATGAAACGACAATAACAATTTTTTTAGCTACATGTTATTTGTAAGTGTTGACCACATGTATCTTTTCTTCTCTCAAAAAGACAAAATTCATTGCCTTTTTAACAATGAAGAAATATATGATAGCCGACTAAAGTGTAATTGCTATTGGTTTTATTATAAATTATTAAGAGACAAATAAATAAATGTACACTTTCTTTATCCTCGCAAGTCAGCTGGACGACCTCGAGAATAAAGATTCGCTGGATCTGGATTACAATATATATGTGAGGCAATCTTGAGACTCTCAAAGTCCTTTTGTGCTCTCTTGGTCCATTCAAATCGATCTGCTGGAGTAAATGCATACTTGCCAAGATTGGCCCAATAAAACGCTTTCAGGAACCGAATTTCTTGAATAAATCGCATTTCAAGTACTCCATGTTGCAGTACAGTAAAGCCCTCAACTGTCCTGCCCGTACTGATATAAGGTAAGGCTCTGGCCAAATAAAGACAGGGCTGTGTGAATTCCCAAAATTTGACTTGCTGGAAGGCATGGTTCAGTCTGGCTACACCTTCAATGAATCGATCGTAGTTCTTTGAGTCATGGGTGGATATAAAATCGACTCTTTCGTCTTCTATAAGTGAATAAAGTCCCATGGTGGCGAAAATAAGACCGAATATAGGAAAGATGTTTGCTAGTTTTATTGTTAGTTTCATTTATGTTTAATAGGAATAAACTTACGTGTTACTGTGAGTAAAGGCAGGATGACCATTAAGCACTTGGTATGTTTACGAGCATTTTCATAATTTCGGCATCTTGCATAATAACACAACAGTGTGCCATGAATAGCAATTCGATTATAATCAGCTGTCTGCTTCAAATGTGCCTCCAAAAGGGCCACGTAGGGCTCACAATCACGAAGTCTGTCGACGATCAACGCGTTTCCAACATGATAGACGCCCAGCCAGATCTCTGCTTCAAAATCACCATTTGTATGTGCGGTATCTGCCATTTGTTTGAGCAAGAGCAAATCTTCAGGCGAGTTATCAAGCGTGCCTTCGAATATACGCATGGTAATCACCAGTCCAGCCGATCGATAGAACGCTTGACAGTCGGTGATGACGCCTAGCGTCTTGACGGCCTCAATGGATCGATAAAGTAGCATTCTTGCGTTTTTAAACTTTCCAGCAGCAAAACACAAGTGAGAGCAGATGGTGAGGGTATCAGCATCATTTTTATCATCCATGTACTTTAACGCTTGCGTAATATAGAATATACTTTGTTCCTTTTCATCGTTTAACCAGCTCAGCATGGAATTCCTAGCCAAGAACAGGGTATAACTCGGCCCGACCTCTTCCAGACGCTCACATGCATTCAGTCCGACAAGGCATGTGTACACAAAGGCCCTACCTTTGCCGGTGTAAAAGTATATGTTGGACAACTGCACCATGATCTCTACCACGCGCTTGCCGATTTCTTTTTTGATATCTTTGGTAAATTTTCTGAATATGCGCATCTTCCTATGTCTGAACTGTGAAATTTTGTTTATCCAAAACTTATACAAGAATTCTGGTTCGCTCTGTGGCCAAGACTCGCCAAGACAATCGAGTGCCTGGAACAGGTACCGCTCTCCTTCAGTTAGTTTCGTACGCATTGTAAAGCATATACCCAGTCGTCGATAAATATCGCTACGATGAATTCGGCCAAACTGTACAGCTAAATCCGTGTTCTCGTTCAGGATTTTGACGATACGTTCGAGGTTTCCCGTAGCTTCCGGAAGCAAAAAGGACTTCATGTTTAGGTCGGCTAATGCTTCCAGATAATAAAGCTGTTTGTCCAAGTAATCCGTTTGTAGGTAATGTCGAGTCACTTTGGGTAAAAGCTTTGTATAGTTTTCTCTGGTCAATTGGTTTTCATAGTACTTGGCCAGGAGACGATGTAGCAAGATTCTCGTCTCGTAGGATACCATGTCGTATATACTTTGTGGAATAGTAATGTGTGTAAACGTGTAGATGTCTTCGTCAGTTTCGTGCGCATGGTCATCGACTTTTTGGATAAAATGATAGACATCGTATCTTTCTATTTTTTGTCGCACTTCCTCTTCATCCGCATATTTGAAGTCGATATTGTTCTCTTTAATGACCGATTGAACCTCTTTAAGCGTAAAGTACTGATCTAAGCAGCTTGCTACCTAGTAAAAAAAAAAAAAAAAAAAAAAAAGGAGTAAGATTTTGATAAAGTGTTTACATGATTAAACTTACTGTCAAGAATTCTTGAAAGCTATTGTCCACTCTATCAAACTGCATCTTGATAATTCGTTTATAGTCAAAATTTCCCAGCAGATCCTCCAAGTCAAAGCGCGTGCTGCTGGGTACTAACGTATGCTCAATCACAGTGACATGATTAAAATCTTTTAGAACAATCGCCATGTTTCTGTTTCAAAAATAGGTTAGATCATATTATGTTTCTTTAGTATTGAGACCTACTTGACATAAAGTGGGTTTCCTGCAGTTCGCTTCTGAATGACCGAGACAATCTCTGGACTGACACTATTCACGCTTGTCGTCTGGAACGTCTGCAAGATAATCTCGGCGATCTCTGTAGCACCCAGACCATTCAGTGGAATCTCCTTTGAAACACCCGTTGCTCTAAACTTGTTGATAAATGTCACATTATAGTCCTTCATAGGACGAGTGGCTAGAACCAGCAACACCTTTTGACAGTGTTCGTGAATATGTTGCAACAAACGAATTGATGCAGAATCGGCCCCTAATATATGGTTTCATGAATACAACAATATACATTGAGTTTATTACTTACATTGCACATCGTCAGAGATGAATACGAGACTCGTATGCTCAGATACATAACGGATCATGCGCGTGATAACCCCTGTGAGAAGTATATCTCGTGCACGTACATCCAATCGCCGTGTCGTCCTGTTATCTGGTACATCGGCCAAGGTGGTGAACACAACCTTGAACAGCGGTAAGAACTCCTCCTCTTCGCCGCACTTTCTTAGGCATCGAGTGATCTGTTCAACCAACTCACTAGCGCTTTCTGGAATGTCGTCTCCGTGTATTTCTGCAGGAGGAGAGAGCCTTGAGCTAGAAAAATAGGATGTGTTGTTACCGTTCGACAGTTGTGGTTCCTTGATGGTCGTGAGTGTCGTTGGTGATGGGGGAGTAGAAGAAGGTGATGACGAGACGTCTGAGCTTTCTAAGCCATGAGAATAGACAGAATCATAGAGATGGGTTGAGCCGGTAAAGTAGGATAATCTTCGTTTAGGATTAGGTGGTAGATCCTGCGAGTCTATGATTTCAAATAAAGCGAGTAATATATTTTTTACAAGATAATACTTGGAGCTCTTCTCCACTACAAAGACATGAATACTTGACTCATTCATATTTTCAATCACTTACCTTCTGTAGACGAAGACCAACAACAGAAAGTATCAGGCGAATGTACAGCTCTGCTGAGCGTATGGCAAAAAAAGCTTTTTCCCACACCTGAGGGGCCCGAGATCACGAGCAAGTGATTATTTGGGGATTCTGTCCAGTCGCTGACAAACTTGGTCGCCTCGGCCATTTCTGACTTGTATCCAATAAAGTCCGAGTTCTTTTCTTGACTTTGAGCCGAAACCCGTTTGTTCTTGATAGCAGCAAATCGTAGGATACCAAAGATCTGTATTGGCTTCACCTTACCTTTGACAAAGTTCTCACCATAGTCCTCAAAATCACACATCCTACCGATTTGTTGCTTTGTAGCAAAGTCGCATACGATATTCTTTTTCGCAAACTGAAACTTGAGCATACGAACGGCTAGGATGATCGTATCGCCTGCGATGGCAGGATCGCGTCTGTAAGGATTTCCCTGAGGTAAGACCGAGTTGAAGATCACACCCGTTGAAAGAGAGATGGCAAAATCATCAAGAAAACCCAGAAAACAGTCGCGAAGTTCCATGGCGGCCTTTGCTGCAAAGATCGCTTCTCTTTCATGCGATAAGGGAGGGAGGCCAAAGACGGCCAAGAGAGTGGCTCCTTTATCATCTACAGCAAATTGCTGAAGGATGCCTTCGTACTTGACCAAGGTGCGAATGGCTGTATGGACCGCTTTCTGCGCTAGTTCAAGACCGTGTGCAGTAGCCACGTTGAGTTTGCCTAGACTGATAAACATGATGGTCGCATCTCTAAATTGAGCTGGGAAATTATCGTCGGGACTGTGCTCAAGGCGATAAAGAGCGCTTCGGTTGATGTATTTTAGGTAATTTGGATTTGGGTCGGATGATAATTCGAGAATGGATGTATCCCTTGTACGCGCAACGAGTGGTTCGATATGAAGCGTATCTGCTCGACTGAGTAAGCCGGGTGCATCAGCTAAATAACTTGCATGGGCTCCTTTGGCTGGGGCTGGGTAGGGTCTATTTCCTTTCCTTGGTGGTGAAGAATCAATACTTTTGACGATATAAAAGTCACCTCGTTTTTCATAGGAAAGACTGATAGACTGGTTCAAAAAGTACTGATATGCTTCTGGAGTAATGCACATTTCACCTGCTTTGGCAGCATTCAGGGCATCCTCTAGTGATTCAACAGCTGGTCCACAGATGGCATACTCTAATCGTCCGGTATAGTCCAAGGTGTAATCAGATGGGTTTTCGCTGCCATTGACACTGATGTATGAAAAACGCTGTTTCTTCTTTGTTATTTGTAATGCAGTAATGTCGTTATCTCTTGAAGAAAGAAGATCGCCCAAGATTACATTTGTGATATCCCCGCATGATAAAGCTATGTGTAACTCCAAGTCAATAGCGTCTGGTTCATCCTTTGTCGTGTCACTTGTCACACTGTTTTTTCTCCTAGTTGCATAAACTTTGTTCTTTCTATTTTTGCCAAAGATGGCTGGAATACAACGCCAGAAATTGAATGCAGTTGCATCATAAGTGTAATCGATATCTAATGCTGTATTTAGATATAAACTTCCTCCTGTTGACGATTGCTCGCTGGTTGACCCATTGCCATCAAACAGGAAGAAAGGTTGACTATCATCATCTCTCGTTCGACGGTCTATGCCGACAGATGATCTGTGTTTCGTACGTTCTTCTGCTGTTAGATAAACTCGATAATGAGATAACCTAGCCAATAATTGCAGTCCACATTCAATTGCCTTTCTGACAAGTACATTTCGTTGTCGTGCTTCTCTATCCTTGGCGTTTTCTTCACTTGTTGTGAAATCATTTTCAAATGATTGTATTTGAAAGCTAACTAAAACTGCATCTCCCAAGAACTAATATAAATGTAAATAGGTGTGCCTATATTCTCACGCTCATTTACCTTCACAACATCTCCGCCAAAGTGTTCAATGATTTCAATGCACTATAAAAAGCGTGAGTTATATGAAGAGATCAAATTCATGGGTACACTTTACTTCACCCATATAAGAGCCTATTTCTAATGCAACAGCTTCAGCCCCAGATTCTCCTTTCTCAGCGGCCATTGTTGTCAACTATATAGAGTAAATGTTACTGTTGTATATCTATATATAGAACTTACAGCACTAAAACCTAAAATAATAGCAATCATAGTAAGTTCCCCCGCATATGTTATAAAAATAAAAAAGGCATACCAACAACATCAACCATGAGCACAACGCCAAATTGAGACTGACTGAATGGGATTTGTAGTTTATCGAATCTGGCATGCAATGACCTTACATACTAATGATTATAAGTGGAGGAGGTTTTTATATATAAAAATATTCATTTCCTACTTTGGCAATATAAGGTGCAATATTTAGCATTGCAAAGTTAATTACGAGTGATCTCTATTCTCTCTTTTGTCTGTATCTTGGAGCCTTTTAAAAAAAGAAAAAAAAGAAAAAGAAAAAATAGAGCAAATGTTCGTTTTCTTTTTCCAAAAACAGATTTGCTTAGCAGGACAGTGACGTTACAGATGTTTCACCGTCTGCTGTTTCTTTGATAAACACATTTAAATAATGATTTCATCTTCACTTTGTATCTATTTATCAAATTGAAAATAATGATCATCTGCAAACGAAAAAGAAGGAGGAACATTATTGTTTGACAGGTTTGAGGTTTATCTCAAAGGAGGTTGTGCTCCGTACAAAAATGGTAATTTCTCTGTTAAATCACCGTCAGACATGACAATCCCTTTTTGTTTTGTTTTTTTTCTACATGAATTCACTTAGAAAGATTTCAATCCCACATGCTAGATCATTCCACACCACACATACTTGCAATAGCCCTCGAGGGCTCACAAAAGTAGCTAATCGCTGGGGCACGTTTCAACGACTTGGACCAAGCTCATTAGCTAGCATCGATGTTCGACAAATGGAGCGTAGACAAGTACCTGATCACATCCTTTTACCACCTTATGCCAAACTTGGTGCTTCTTCCACCTGGTCTCCTGATATCCCAGTGAATACAGAGATAGACATTATACATATGCGAAAAGCAGGCAAGCTTGCAAAAGAGATCCTAGAGATGGGTTCTACATTATGTAAAGTAAGCACCTCCTATTTTTATTTATTTGTATACAAAACTTATATATCAATCAGCCAGGAGTCACTACGGATAGCATCGATAGGGCTCTTCATGAGGCCATTATTAAAAACAATGCATACCCGTCTCCATTAAACTATAATGGATTTCCCAAGAGTGTTTGCACATCAATTAACAATGTGATCGCACATGGAATACCGGATGATAGAGAGCTAAAAGACAGCGATATTATTAATGTGGATGTTACTGTAAGTAGACATCATGTAATAAGATTTATATTAAATATCACCAGGTCTACTTGAATGGATATCATGGTGATACCTCTGCCACTTTTTTAGTCGGAAAAAATGTGGATGAGCAAGGTAAGGCGCTAGTTGAATGCACAAAAGAGTGCTTGGATATGGCCATCAAAGCGTGTGGACCAAAAGTGCCTTATAAAGAGATTGGCCGTATCATCAGGTAATTTGCTTTTTATAATGTCAATTTTTTGTTTTAACTCTATTCAAATACGCCCAGTGACTATGCAGCAAAACACGGTTATTCTGTATCAGATGAGTTGTCTGGACATGGCATTGGCAAGGAATTTCACTGCTACCCTTTGATTTTACATCATGGTAACCCACTTTCTGTACGTTTATAGAAAATGACTCATCATACGTTATAGTGAATGAAGAAGAAGGCTTAATGAATCCTGGCACTATTTTTACTATTGTATGTATACAGACTATATATTTATACAACAACTAATATATATGACATCTATAGGAGCCAATGTTATGTCAGGGATCTGCTTCCGGTATTATGTGGCCAGATCAATGGACCATATCTACTATAGATGGTGGTAGAAGCGCACAATTTGAACATACAGTAAGTGACATGGAGAATAAGGGGGCTTTAATTTAATATTTGAAAAGATTCTTATCACAGACGACGGTGTAGAAGTATTGACAGCATAAAATGTGTATAAATTTTGTGTAAATAGCAGTTTACAATAAAATTGTTTTATTTTATATATCTAACTGGAAATTTAGTGAGCTGACGTTGTACATCTTCACAATAAAGTGCGTCATAGTCAGCTCCAGGCATAAGACATTGCAAACGAGCGTCTAATAACCAATTGATATACTCGTTCTCAAGTAACTGTGTATCCACTTCATTTACAAGTTGGAAAAGCACCAAGGCGTCGTGCCGCAGCATGGCAACACGTTCTCTACTGAAGAGTAAGTCGATGGCTAACTGTCGATGACGTGCGCTGTGCCAGTGGTATCGAATTGTATTATTACGCGACTTTGATTCGAGGAATAATCGGAAACTACAGACAGTATGAGATGTGAATTTTTGTCTTTTTTTTTTTATATATACCTGTCTGAACCGTCAAAAGCTGATCTGATATCTACATTAATCAAGCCCTCATCAATATCTTTCAGGTATACTGCACGAGATACAACTTGATGCTGACTACTGGCTTTTTCAATAGGTCGAGAAGAGGAAAAGAGCCAACTGTATAAGAGCCAAATGAAGGCAATGGCGGCTACTGATACCTTTACAGCAAACGGTAACATATCAACAGTATCATGGACGGTCTGAATAACAGGATCCACATACTGCTCATACCAGCCTTCTTTCTTGTCTTTTTCTGAATTGACTGTTGTTGAAGGCTGTCTCTTGATGGTGCCTGCTCTCTTTAAAGAAACTGTGTCTGCCACTTCTGCACCTTTAGGTTGGAACTGCTTCTTGGCTTCGCTCTGGACGATAGGCACAAATATCTCTAGGTTTTCAGACATGCCCTTCATAGCAGCTTTGCTGACAATACCCTTCACAAGGATATTCTTTAAAAACTTGACACCTGTATGACAGGCTAATTTACAACGATCCTGGCTGACCCAAGTGATACAGTACTTCAAGTAAGGTACAAAGGCGTCTGCGTAAGGTAGCTGTGGCGTTTTTGTCGTTGTCATGACAACATAACACCTGCACAAAATTTAGTTTAGGCTTATGTATATATATATATATATATAACTTACAGATAATCTTCTTTCTTTTCAATCACTTGTTTCTCGATTGCTTCTGCTTCCTTTAACTTCACCATTGCGTTATTTACAGGTATAATATACTTGAGTGTACGTTCGTAATTGCCATCAATACCCTTGCCCCACTTGGTCATGGTCAAATCTAGAGATGGTCTTTGTATAAGTCATTGCTATACATACACTTTTTAAAGGCTTACTTTTGCTTTTATTTTCAACCGTCTTCTTTTCCCAAATGTCGATATAATTTGGATTATCGTCGTCAAATAACAGGTAATACAACTGCTTGGCAGACACAGGTAATTCTACCTCTGATTCAAGCTTATCCAAATGATTAGAGCATCCACAGCTCACAGGGCCGGTAGGCGCTTTAAAGTCCTTGGGTGGGGCGTGAACTATATAGAAATCAATATCCGGAAAGAAAGAAAGAAAAAAAAAAAGATAAAACGTACCATCATCACCTTCGTCATTGGTAGTAACCACACTCTCGCCTTGATCTGCTACTGTTATCGTATCCTCTACAGGAACATTATTCAGAACCGGTTTCGATTTCTTGGACTTTAGGATACTCTGATACTCCTCTTGCAGCTCCTTTCGTGCCTCAAAGAACCCACTACCGCCTGCTACTGTAGCAGCCATCATGGCAGCAGCTAGTGCACCCGATTTAGGCTTGACAGGAGCCGAAAACTTGCGAGGCGCTGACGACTTCTTTTTCGTATCTGTTGACTTGCTCGTAGCAGACGAAAGCTCTGGCAAGGATGCGGCGCTCGAACTTGCTGAAGGAAGAGGTTCTGCAGCAGACCGGATGATGGTCTTGACTTGATTGTTGCCTTTCAGCTTGGAAGCAGATAACGAATGAACAACGTCGTATGTCGTTTGAAGAGGCGCAGGCTAAAAAAAAAAAAATAAATGTGTGCGTGAAAAACAGATATTTTTTCTTTTTTTTACCTTGGATGATTTTGCGTTTTCGATGGCAAATTGGAGTTTTTCACGAAGTACCTCGACGTCATCCATCAATGGTATAAAGACCAATGGTTCCTCAGATACGGTATGTGCCAGATCAATGACTAGAGCACGGTTAGAGTTGGTGCCGTCATTGGCGATGGAGGTATCACGAATGATTCGAACTGCTTTGATATCTGTCAAACGAACTGCGACCTATACATAGGATGTGAATTTATCTATATGAAATAAAACTGGAGACTTACAGTGTTGACACAGTTCATCATCATGCAACTGTAGAACCAAAATGTCTCTTGGGTAATAAATCCTTTACCCGTATATGAGTATCCAAAGGTCGATACGGGTTCTTTTACTGTAGTTGGTAATTGGGCATTGAGCTCTTGTTCGAGCTGGTCTACAGATGGATTGGGCGTAGTGGGCGACATGGGAAGCTCAGGGATCTGCTCGATGGTCTTCTTTGGCTTCTTTTTCAGTAAACCAACAAAGGCTATAAAGTGTTATGACAGCAGTTTTGTGTGTATAGGCTTGCTTTACCTGTTAAAACAACTTCTTGTTGACCCACTCCGCCAAACAGCTGTCGGAGTTCCTTGTTGGAAGTATCAAGATCCGTCGAGTACCCAACGAGGTCGACTTTTGGCACTGCCGCATCGTCCGTTCGTATGGGCCACACGATCTGATTTCCTTCTGCATCAGAGATAGATGTGGTTGAAGAAGTAGGCGGTAATTCGCCCACGATGTCGTCATTGCTACTGCTCTGGAACATGCTGGGCACGAGTGCCCAAGGAATGCCCCATGAAGAGTTATTGGCAACACTGGTAGCGCCGTTGACTGTTGTCACTGTTGTCGTGGACGTGCTTGGAGATTGCGTTGGGTTTGAATCGACATGTATGCTTTGTGTAGTCACCGTATTCGAATGAGCCGCTTCACGAACAAAAAGAGGTGTGAGTGAAGTTGACTGGGACAACGTTTCGTTTTCGGATACATTCGACAACAACACGATCGATGGTTTTTCTGGTTCACTCTCATGAGATGCATCTTTTTCGCTGAGCACAGTTGCTTTTGGCTTGGCACCTGCTGTATCCGCCATATCAGACGTCTTGTTGAAATCCAATTGTTCGTTTTGTAGCATCAGTCGCTTTGATTTTTCAAATGCGCCGATCCATTCACGCATTTCTTCCTCTGTTTCGGCCTGAAGTACAAAAGATGGCCTATATATAAAATTTACATGTCACTGTCTTTAAAGGTAGGGTCAATGAACTTACTGCTGAGCACACACGACCTCAAAGCAAAATCGTCGATCGATATCTGTGATTGGCTTGACGTCGCAGAGCAGAACAGACACACGATCCCCAATCGCAACCATTCCCTTTGATCGACTGTTTGAGATGTAACAACTACCAAAACATCCATCATACAAAAAGAACCAGCGTCGAATCCAATTGTTACGGGTGGTTCTCATAAAGAGATACCCCCATTTTTGGCTGCTGATTGTGGCTAGGCTGGATGTATAGTCCAATGAATGTCGATTACTGTGGCTCGCGCTCGTGTATTTATCCAAATCTCTAGGAGGTCGTATAATATTCAGATAATCGCTCTCCAATACATTTCGGTTATGCTGTAAGTGATGTAATTGATAATTGCATGTGTCTTTATCATCAAGTAGCCATTGTTTCCAGGAACTTAGATTGGATTCTATTCTTGACCAAGAGTCTGAACCACCTTCAAAGTCCTTGAGGTGATATAGAGTGGCCAAGGTGAACTTTTCGACAAGAAAGTGTTCTAGAAGGGAACGAAAGTGAAGTAATCGAACAACGTGTTGTCCGGACATACGCACATATGCCTTTCTTGCCTCATATAGTCTAAATGCCTCTTCTCGTAAAGCCGAGGCTTCCTTTGTCTTGCTTTGAGAGACGTATTTATAGAGCTGACTTTCGTATCTTTCCAAGCATTTTTCGTACTGCTTTTTAAAGTCCTTAAACTCCTTCAGTTGTACCTTCACAAATGATTGAAGCGGCTGAATAAAGTTATCCTCAAGGTCCGAAACCTAAAGTACAGCTTTAGTAAAGTCACCATTTAAATCATTTGCATTACCAATTTAGTCTTGAACGCCAAACTTGTCTGTAAAGCATCCGAAAAGTTTTTGATGACAGCTCCCGTGAAATTTGGGTCAATCATGATACTGTCGATACCAACTGGGATAACCTTTTTGCAGAGCGTGTTTGTTTCCAGGTTGAATTCTAAGTTTGATTAGATGGGTTTAAAGTAAGAATTGATCTTACTGTTGAGCTTTTCTGCATATTGCTTCATGTATTTAGATAATGAATCTAACCATTTTTCGAGCAAGTCAAGTTGTTCATCAAAATGCAAAGAAGAGGAACGATAGACAGGTGAATCGGTAATAGCATCATGTAAAGTTAATAACGTTGACTGAACATGGCTATTATTTACAGCTTGCATTCTAAGGCAAAGAAAAAAAGTAAAGAAAAAAAAAAGAAAAGAGAGGCGTATGACGAGCCCGTTTTCATCCCTCCATTTGCTTATGCGCGGCCAATAAAATTGAATTTCATTCTCCTCTTCTGCCCCCAAACCTAGGTTGTGTGTATTGTCAGCTAAGGAGGCCATGTTGTACTGTTACTATTTTAGACAACGCATGTTTTCCCCCTTTTTTTATTATGCTCACGACGCAGAGGAATAGCTTAGACTTGAGAAAATCTTGGCTATCGGGTCAAGAAATTTGCGCATGCTTAATTACAGGTTAAATGATTGCCTTTTATGGAACATGAATACCCAAAAAAGTCTATTTCTCTCTCTTGCTGCGCCTTGGTTAAATAGACAATACAGACAGTACATGTGACTCATTGCACGATAAGACTAGATGATGCTGTCTATTTTATATGAAGAGAAACTTTTCAAGAAATATTTGTTTTCCTATCTATCCAATGCTTTGATCGGAAAGGTCGCATAAACCAAAGGACCGAAAAGCCTAAATATGCAGAAATACATGTAAGTCGCATAATTATTACAAATTTAAAAAAAACTATTACCTTTCACAAGGAACGACCTACAAGAAAGACTAAATTAGAATATCGAATGAAGATTAAAAATGAATCTTGCTATCGGATGAGCACACCGTGCTCGTCAAGTGATCTCTCGCAGGAACGAAGGACCATGAAAGTTTGCTAAAGGTATCAGTGTTGAATTGACTGATTTGAGATTGGGAAAATGGTAGGAAAAGGAGAGTCTATCAAACACTGAGTCAAGCCAGACAAGCCAACTGCCAGCGAAGACAGTGTATCTCGAAACCTTGCTGATTTTCCGGACTTCATAGCCACGCATTTTGGATTCACGCACATTAATGCGCCCTTGATATCTTGTGACACCTGTTTATTCTTCTTTGTCAACATAGCTTTTGGATGGTAAAGCTTCTGGTAGTAATATAGGTATATTTGGGATGTCATATGTTCATTTGTAACGCACACATTGACATGCTTACCGTACAGCTGCTCCTTCCATCTACTTATCATTTATCGAGAGCCAACAATGTAGACAGAAGCGGCTAATATTTGTTTTAAAGTGGCAATGGATCTGCTACATGATCTTGAAAGCAAGATATCATACTAACCTTTGTATGAAACTATAACAAGCAAGGAGCCGCCCAAACAAGAGGCTCTTATGGTGGAATTTCAGAACAATCAAAGAATGAATCACCATGACATTCGCTGTTACTGTTGTAAGGAACAGGAGCATAAGAAGCGCGATTGTCAGGTTGGTCGAGCCCATCAAGCAAAAATTTCAAGACGAGTGAACCTGTCATTAAGGAAGTTGATAAAGGAAATTTCTATAAAAAATCAGATACTAATAATTTTCCAGGCTTGTAGTCTGAGGGTAACTTTTGTTTTCTCTTTCTTTCACCATTGTCTTTCTTGTTCAAAGATTTACCCAGTTCACACCAGCAATTGTTTATGGATTCAGAGTCAGTAGATGCATCAGAAGTTAGCCAACAACCATTGTCTTTGCTGTAATTCTTCCAGCGTACGAGATATTCTCTATTTGCAGGTTCACCTCGATGATCGATAACTGCTTCGATCTCGTATAGCTTATCTCTGGGAATGATCTCATACTGTGAAATAGGCTTCAGCTCTTCTGGAGAGTAACTTCGCGACATGATAGTTTCATCAATATCACGAAGAATATAAGAACCACCTTGCGTTTGACGTACGTCTCGATATGATCCTTTATAAACAGGTGAGAGACTATCTGTCTGCTCTCTGCCACGTGCCATAACATAACTCTCTTTAGGGAATGACAGCTGATGGTTTTTGCTGTCGGCCTTTTCCTTTTGCCTGTCAGTGTAGATATCGATTTTATTCTGTATAGCGGGAAAGACAACTTGTGACATGTAGTCAATTTGTTCCAGCAATGCATCATGCGAAATGTACTCCTTTTTCAGCTTATTTCCAGCGCCGCCTCTGCAGTCAATGTAGTCATTCATATTGCGAGCGAACATTAAAGGGAATGGAGTAGATTGCAGTCTTGCTGAGATCTTATTGCTGATCACCAACTGCACAGCTGGAATGAAGTGATGCCAATCATCAATAGCATCTTCCAATGCTTTTGCCAATGTTTTCCTGGAAGTTTGGACATAACGTTGAGCCGCATCATTAGCCGAGGGATGGTAAGGAGTGGTATATCTCCTATCAATGCCCATTGCATTGAACATGTTTTCTAGAATCTCATTTTGAATTCTGAGCCATTATCACTACATACAAAGTGTCTAGGATAACCAAGTAAGGAAAATGTATCAACCATGGCATCTGCAACGGTTTTAGCCTTTTTGTCTAGTAGGGGCTTCAGTACGCAGAATCTAGCGCAGATATCGATTAGAATTAACATGTATGTATACATGTTACTACATGATTGGAAAGGCCTTATTAAATCAAATGCGTAAGCAGGTCGATGAGGATTGTAGCCTTTTCTAGCAATATTGTACTTTTGGCAAGTATTGCACTTACATAGTCAACCGCATCAGCCAATAGATTAGGCCAATGAAGGTTTTTATTGTGGATCGCTTTCACAATGTGATCAGCACAGAAATATCCCAGTTTATGTACTTCGCCTAAGATCTCCTCGTAATCTTCCACAGGTGGAATTATATAGCTCTTATCACTGAACTTTGAGGGACTCTGGACATAAAAAACCTTTTTGTTTTCTTTTAATATTTTCAATCCATGTTCCTTTCGTGCACTAGGCTTGTAAGCAAGATTTTGACGTTTTCCTTCGCTGTCATCCATACCACCCCCTACCAGTCCTTTTTCAGAAAGAAAAAGACGTGATAAAGCACCAGGTAAAACGTTTTGAAAACCGGAAATATGGACAATGTCAGAATCATTGGATAAAGTGCTCGCAACAACAACATTAAGCCAATACAGCCCATCTTGGTCTCATTAAATAGAATTTGTGAAAATCCTCAGTCCTTTCATTTATATCCCAACAGTGCTTCTAATCTTAAAGCATAAATGGAACTGGATTAATATGATTGTCTTTACTTTTTTGCTATTTTTGTTGTTTTAATCTTTGAATTAACCGTTTTCTACAATTAAAGTATTCTAATAATTTACTATTCGTTTTCAAACTATCAGCATCAAACAAAAAAGCCTCGTTCGAAATAGTAAATGTATCAATTGCAATTTTCTTGATAATTAGGCAAATACTTGGAAATAGAGAAATCAAATTGTCTAAGAAAATTATAGTAGTCTTTTTTTTTTTTTTCTGGTTAAATTCTACTATTTGAGCACCATGATATATAATTGTATTATTAGTCCCTGTTGCGATTTGTTAATTTTATTATTTTAAGAACATGTACTAAATCTGAAAGTAATTACATTGATTGTATCTAATAATAGGCTATTTCAACTCAATATTATAAGAACAATGATAATTACAAAGGATGAAAAGCGCTTTCACTATTAAAGGCGAGCAATGAGGGGACATAAGCGTATGCAATAATAACTTAGTCACACAGTGCAGCACTGTCTCTTGATGGTCAGAGATGATCTGCAGATAGTTTGAGATGATTTGAGATGGATTAAAAAAGCCAAAATTTAAGTAAAATAATAAAGCCAGTTTTGCGAATTACTGAACCTTGTAATTCTGTTCCTCCCAATCACCTTCATGCGTTTGCCCTTTGAGAAAGTTTTAACCGCCTTTTGATAAAATAAAAAGCCGCTCTTTTGATTTTTTTATTGGCCGTCAAAAAATCGCCCTTTGCCGTTGGAACGACTATATTTGTATTAACTAACTAATCAACAGCTATTTTACTATCTAATAATAATAATTTATTTCCCGACCGTCTTAATTTAGGTAAGTGGGAATACGGCTGACATAAATCAGTGTTCTTCATATGTCAGGTCAACAGACACAAGAGGATCTAAAGGAAATTGCAAAACAATTATCAGATGCTTATTACAAAATACTACAGCATTCAACATTAAGCGAGCAAACGGTATAAAAAAAATATAATATGTGTGCTATATTGTTGTTAATGTCCTTTGAACAGATCTTGGATTCCTTGAGTTTATTATCCAAGTACAGCCATGATCTACCCTTGTCATGGTTCACCAACGAGTTTTTAGATCAATTATTTGCTTTGAAAACCAAGTTTGAAAACACAAATGGACTACTTTCTATTATCACTCTCCTATCAGCATGGTTGCGTCTGAGCAAAGATAACGACCATCGACAGAAACTAGCACTTGATATACTCGAAAGTATCTTAAGAAAGGACGATACGGCTAGATTACAAAAGGAAGCTTGGATCGGATGGGTTGCTCTTATCGGTAAGGGCAATCATGATGCTCGAGTGCTTGACGGAATGATCAATGTAGTCGAAAGATACGGCCAAGCGCAGTCGCTCGAATTGGACGCAGGTCTGGCGCATGCTTTGGCCATGACAAATACATTGAATGAATTTGAGATCGAGCCCTGTCAAAGACTGTTGAACGTGTATGCAAAGCACGCTTCAGCCAGAGGATTTGACGGTGCACGTGCATTGATGGACGCGTTGGAGCATGCGACCGATGTTCGGTCTCAAGAAAAACCTCAGACGCGAGCAGAGGCAGATTTGGCCACACTTGTGCAGTTAGTGATCGATTTAGAGGACAAGGCTCGCTTATCAGCCTTGGCGGGTATAGTGTAAAGTGTTGTTGATTAGAAAAGACGATATCACTCACCTATAAGTAGTCGAGCACTTCAGTTCAATCAAGGCAAAAATACAAAAAAGGTGATTAAGCAAAGAGAAAAGGCTGAAAAGGCACTCATGGAGCAACTAAGCATTGCATTGACATCAGGCCATGCTTGCCAGGATACCCTCGCCTATATCGCCTCTCGGTGTCTTTTGCAAGTTCCTGAAAAAGAACTGACTCATCTACCATCGGCTGACCTCCTGCGCGTCTTAGTCTCAAGTTTGTTGACCAGCGCACTGGCCATCCAGCATCAAGAACCGCTCTCTCGACTGACCAACTCAAAAGAGAGCGTTGAAGAAATAAAGGCGTTTGTTGATCAGCCTCTGTTTAAACAAGTCGGCCGTATCTCACGCACAATTGCAAAAATCATTCAGGTTGTGGATATTCGTCAAGCCGAGCATATCATGGATAGATTCGTAGGCTTTTCATACAATGTCTTTATTGACTGGGATCAATTTATAATATCCAATATAGGTATACATCTAAAAAGAAAAAGAAACAAAAAAAGACAATAGCTTATGGTTATTAGATGCCGATTTATATAAGCAAATCGAAGAACATGCCTGGACATTTCTCAAGAGCGTTTTGTTTTCATTCACCGTGATATTGAAGGCGATCGCTGTGGATATACCCAATGGACAAGGCCTAGTCGAGGTTCCAAACGCCGCTCAAGACACTCTGTCGATCTTTGCCAACCTGCACTTTATCACACATCATCTTGGCCAAGGTGCCGGTCGTCAAGCGTATCAGGATACCCTGACGAACGTCGTAGCCTATCTTTTACAACCTGACCATCAGTGCCAGCTCAACCGACTTTTGTCAAGTGCGTTCAAGGAATACAGCCAGCCGCTTTATACAAACGACGCCACACCTGCCGTTGAACTCTTGTCGACCGTCAAGCAGATGCGTCTCTTGTTCTTTACGGATTTACTCGAACAAACGGTCAAGAGTGTCGATGATACCGCACTCGAACATCAGATCTTACCCGTCATCTACCCGATCCTCAAATGGAAGCGTGTCGAAAACAAGGATCTTTATGAAAGCGCACACACGGTCGTCATTAGCACGTTTCTAGCAGCCAAGCCAGTTTGTTCTGAACTGTCGATTGCTTATGCCGATATACTGATCGATGTAAGACTCTTTTGTATACTGCTGTTCTCTTATTAATTTTATGTAGAATTTTCCTGAGCCTATCAATCTTGATCAACTCCGTTTTGGCTTCACCACTATGGTCAAAGCACTATGTGAAATCGATGACGCCCTCGCTTGGTTTGTCGTGAGCCGGCTGATCGAAAAAATCCATAGCCTGGAAATGGTAAGTCGAGCAGAGTACTTGACGGTGCTGATTGATATGCTCAAACCACTCTCTTTGGGCCCCTTTTTCCCATCCATTCTCGATGAGATTCGAGCCCAAGTCCAAGTTCAGACGCCTAAAATGCAACTGGCTACCCTCAAAATCATCTTTGATACCGTGAGTGGGCCTGGAATATCTGATATGCGACGAAAGCAAGCTGTGGGTTGGTATTTGAATTTAAAACGTGAATTGAAATTATGATTTTATTAAATAAAGCGTTTATGATGAAGATTTCTTTTCATTGACAGAAACAAAATGGTAAGTGACGATTAAAAGCATGGTGATGACTCCAAGTGAATTAGCAATAAAGGCAAGTTGGTTATCGGTAATCATGATGTTCTTTAAATAGTTTAGTCATCATCTCAACATGGTTACTTCTTTCTTACCTTTTTTCTTTTATTGGAAAGAAGATGGACCTGTTGAGAGAACGCTAAATCCCCGAAAGAATTTAAAGTCCTAAGTAAAATAAAATTAATTTCTTGTACTGCTGCAAAGGAAATTAGGGTTCTGCTATTTGCACAGCACGTTTGCACTGCATTTTCACACCTGGTGATATAAGCAATTCAATTTATACTACACCTATACCTATACAACACTATTTTCAGCACTGAAGTATAAGAGAAGCATGTGTCGATGAGTCTGTAACAATTTCTTTATTATATTGAAATGAGAATGGGGTTGTTATTACAAACAACATCATTTTATAAGAAAACAGAATTATTGCATGAATTTATCACGGCCAACAGGAATAAGGCATGAAGCGTCTATAAGAATAATGCGTTTTGTGGTCAGCTTTGTATACGTTTCTTTCTTCAAATAATATTCTACAAGGTGGATTGTTTATAAGGTAAACGCGATAAATATGCTGTTTGCTGTGCAAATAGCAAAACCCGGGAATTGTCAGTTCCTTTCATTGGTATGTGGCGTTTTAGGATTTTTAAAAGTACATTACCTGCATAAAATGGCCAAAGCGGTAACTTGGGCGGGCGTTTTAGAACGCTTGGTGTTGCTGCTCGAACTGTTGGGGTTATTCTTCCTTGTCAAGATAGATTTGAGCCGTACACTTGTGTGAGATCCCATTTTTTTTACCAGCTCTGGCCAAAACAATTATTTTCCAGATTACTATTTGTGAAAAAGATTTATTCCTTAAAAACAACAGTTATAAGATAAAATTCAAAAAGTTGATCAAAATACTTTTAAAATTGGGCAATACATTTTCAAACATCTGGTTAAACTGGTTTCGTTTCCAAGGCAGAATGTCGACATGGAGAGTATTCTATTATGTAATGAAACATTAATAAGAGTGTGATGTTTAATAACAGAATGAAAGATAAGTTTATGAAGCATGAAACACAAATATGATTTTAAGTCAGCAGCAAGTAAATAAAGAAAACTATCCATCATCATCGTCTTCTTCTTCATCGTCTTCTTCTTTATCATCTTCTTCTCTATCATCTTCTTTTTTATCACCTTCTTCATCATCATCTTCTTCATCATCTTCTTCATCGTCATCTTCATCATCTTCATCGTCTTCATCATCATCCTCTTTTTCAAAAGTGGCTTTTGTTATCCAAGCATTGTAATTGAGCTTTTTCTTTTGATTGACTTCAGTTAAAATGTTTTCGATATCATTTGCGACACTGGAACTGTTATCATGATAAATCTTTCGTAGATTATCCAACATGTCCTAAAAAAGAAAAAGTAATATAAGATAATGCAAAATATTAGTTATCTTGTCCGTCGCCTTACATCAACTGTAGATAGAAAATTAATCAGGTTTTCTAAAGATCCTGTCTCGATTTGCTTCAACGACTTAGGAAAACAAAAAGAAAAAATATCCTCCAATTTGTACTCTTTTTTCTTTGGTAAACTGATAACAGAGAGCTTTCCATTGAAACCAGCTATTTGGATTATTGGCATCTTTATAAGAGGAACATCTTGGGCACGGATATACGGTAATTCCTTTATAAAAGTGTTAAGATGGCACTTTGACGCAATGGTGGACTTAAGCTTGTCTTTGTAAATCTTTTTTACTGTTGCTTTCTTGGCCATCTCTCCAGTACAGCCATCGACTATATTTTCATCATCCTGTATCATCACCAGCCGCAAATCCAACTTAAATTTTTTACCGACTTTTTTACAACTGCCGCTTATGGTGTCACCCCTAAAAATAGTTAGACGAAGAATAAGTTGCATAAAGAATATTTACCATCGTAATAAAACATCTTGTCTTCTTCCTAAAAATAATTCAAAGATGTAGCTCCAGAATTTGTATTGGTAATCTGCTTCTGAATAAATCTCAATGAACTGCTTCGAAAAGATCCACGGGCGGTCTACATGCATGTCAAGACTAAATGGAATCATTTTTAGTAAGTGCTTTCCAAATATTTATAACTCCTGATTAATGTACATGAAAAGATAGATGTTCTGAATGACTTTTTCCTGCGTTTCTTGGGGCTTATAGTTTTTAGTGGTGTTTATAACATCAGTAAGCTTTGCCAGAGTCTTGACCTATGTGTAAAAGCAGTGGTTTTATTAGTCACCAGAGATCATTTTTATCAAATGAAAATTACCTTTTTGAACTGAGTAGCTATTTTTTTGATGTTCTGCCAACCATTTATCTTGACTAATGATTTGTTGTTTGAGCTTAAGACGATATTGTTTTTCAGCAAACTACAAAATACAAATAGTTAATACATCTATAGAGAAAGCCTAGAGTATATACTAATAAATACCCAGCAAAGTATCGGTTCCTATAAAATGTGCCGCCTTTCTTCCGCTTTTTTCTTTGCTGCTACATAATAAACAAAGATCAGAACGTGGGTTTGTCAATGCATTTAAAAATATGGATATGCCTCATTTCCTTCTATCTAATTGAAATAACAAAGTAGGTTGCTAGGTAAGAAAAAAGTTTTGTCCTATAGTTTCTTTAGACATACTTCTTTTCTGAGCTTTTCTAAACCTGCTTTTTTGATTGTATTTTTGTATAAGGTTTTTTCTGCAGCTAAGGACGCAGACGAAGCAATAAGGGCAGACCGTCTTCTTTTTGTCATTTTTGTACAAAAAAAAAAGGGAAGGGTATAATGTTATTACACGAAAGAAATGTTTATCTTTAGATGCAAACCTATTAGATAACTAACAAATCTACGTTATTAGTTTGGACTCCCATGAGCACGTGCGAATTATAATAATTTTTCAAGGATTTTATAGTATATATTTTCCCAGTTCTCGTTTTTACTACACATGCGACATATTAAATTGTTGTAATTGCTATCGCTGTAAATGCATTTGTTAAACTCTCTTTGTCCATCCTTAACACGGGTAGTTTTTCAAGCTGGCAGACTAGGGCCTGTTCTTCGTAATTGTTGAAGGCA